TTTCTCAGGTCTTAGCTTTTGTGACCCAATACCATTTTTGTATGTGTATGATAAATGACAATTACCTTCCTTGAGGCTTTCTTCTTGGCTTCTATTATATCACATTGTGTACTCTCACCTCCCAGCCTACCCTTTCTAGCCCCCATCACTGACTGGTCCTTCTTCATCCAGTTCCTCTTCCATCCAGGATGCACAGGAGTCTAGTATGACACTGACACACAGTGTGAGGATACTAGATATCTCCTTTGTGATATCTCCTCAGAGACATGATCACTGGTGATTTCTTCTATAAACTCAACTTTAACTCTAAAGTTAAACTCAACTACAAAACTTATGATACCTACAAACTAAAGTCTTATCATATTATTCTACTCTGTTATTTAGCATCAACATGGTGTGTGGCAATCCACACACAGGGTGGTTGAGGCAGAAGGATGGTGGGAAGAAGGCCATTAATAGATATGATTTGATTGGAATTTGTTTCCTCACACAACCTATTCCCTAAAAACTGAGTCCCAAGTATCTACAATATAAAAGTATGTCATTTAAATCTTAAGGGTGAGTTCGTAAATGAATTAATATATGCCTAAATAATGGTAATAATCATTTCTTCCACTGAAACTAGCAAACACCTCGGTTGCCTCCGCATAACACTTATTGTATATTTTACAGGTTGTATGTCAGAAAGCTGACCTGTGTGGAAGCATGTAAAGTGTCCTTGTTCTTTGGTTTCTGATCAAATTTGGCAAGTTGGAAGCCCAGACTGGAAAGGGAGAGGAATGGATTTGGAATTTTTTTTCTAAATCTTTCCCTGTTGGATTTTTGGGGGTCAGTCTGCATTTCCTTAAGTCATTTCTGTTTTGTCTCAAAAAAAAACCCTCTTATTCTCTCTTTTTTTAATTTTCTGAGCCTAAAGATGATAACCATTTTGCTGTTACTAGACCCAAATTGCTGCTTCATTTTTTATATTATTCACTACATCTTGTGCCTATGTCTGTAAATTACCACTTCAGCAAACCATTCTCCAATTGTCATATTTTGAATACTTACATTTTACTGTAACTTTGATGAAATATGAAGTTTTTACTGAGTAACCTCTTAATGCAATTCTCATACACTCCCGTGCTACCATTTAACTGCAACTGGCTTTAGCATAGCTTCACATATCCACACACAATTTCTGAGTGACTGACAAGAGTCACCTCAATTTTGTATGCTTTTATAGAGCAGGAATAATAGGAAAGAGGGAAAATCACAAGGTATATGAAATGTAGACATACTGACTGTAAGCAGAGCTTAAACCAGTGCTAGGATCCAGGAAATATCAGATATTGTATCCTGTTATCCTTGAAGTTGTACAGCTTTAACTCCATTTTAAAGACAAGTTTTTCTGCTCTTCTGCAAACATTATTTTAGCTCGGCACTGGGGACTCATGTCTGTAATCCTAGCCACTCAGGAGGCATAGATCTAAGAATGATGGTTCAGTGCTAGCTGGGTCAGGAAAGTTCATGAGACTTTTATCTACAATTAACCACCAGAAAACCAGTGCTGTGGCTTATAGTGGTAGAGTGCTATACTTGAGTAAAAGAGTTCAGGAACAGAACCCAGGCCCTGAGTTTAAGCCCCACAATTGACAAAATGAAAAGAAAAGAAAACACTATTTTATTCATGCATAATGAAAATTGTTTTACAGATAGTAAGTCTACCTTGTTTTGTGGAATTATTTTTCTAGACAAAAACTCTAAGATGTGTCTTTCCAAATTTCCTGCTTTTTAAATAAGAGTTTTACATATCCAAAAGCACATTTGAATCAGAATGACACAATTATTGACATAACCATAGAAAAGTTGTAAGGTCTTTGAAGATAATGAATCATTTTAATCTCTTAAAGTTGTTTTATACAAATCAAGAATCTATGTTCAGGCATTTATTGTTGTAAACAATAGAGCTGATGTTAAAGCAGAATTGTTCATTTATTACTCACTCCTCAGAAATACTTATTTATAACATACATATACATCAGATGTCTTTTCAGTGAAGTTAACATGATTTTATCATTTTATTTTATTTTTATTTTTTATTAATGTTCATTATTGTGAAAATACCATGCAGAGGGATTACGATTACATGAGCAAGGTAATGAGTACATTTCTTGCCTCCTCTATTGTTTCCCCTTACCGTCCCTGCCCTCCCATCTTTCCCCCACTCCCCACCCATTCCCCTGGCCAAAGTTGTAAATTTCGTTCTTCGACATAACATCTTGTGCATCTCATTGCTGAAATGGGTCCACCTGTATCCCTATTTAAACAATTCGTTTTTCCCTTCCCCTTCCCAAATTATACCAACATCAAATACAGTGAAAACAAGGGTTATACTGGGAGAGAGACATACAAAGCAACAGATGCTGGAGGGGATGTGGCCAGAAGGGAACCCTACTGCATTGTTGGTGGGAGTGTAAACTTGTTCAACCACTTTGGAAAGTAGTATGGAGGTTCTTCAAAAGACTCCACATAGAGCTCCCCTATGACCCAGCAACTACACTTTTGAGCATTTACCTGAATGATCACAAACAAGACCATACTAAAGCTACCAGCACAACTATGTTTAGTGCAGCATTATTTACCATAGCTAAGATATGGAACCAAACCTGATGCCCCTCAGTAGATGACTAGATCAAGAAAATGTGGTATATATCCACAATGGAATTCTATGCCTCCATCAAAAAGAATGACATTGCCTCATTTGTTAGGAATGGAAAGACTTGGAAAAAATTGTATTAAGTGAAGTAAGCCAGGCCCAAAGAAACATAGGTCCCATGGTTTCCCTTATTTGCAATAATTAGTATATGTTTGAGACAAGGAGAAATGGTCAGATAAGTTGATGTTAGGCGAAATGAACCCCAAGATAAGGATTCAAATGGTTTTTCTTTCTTGCTATTGTTTCTAGCATGTTTATTTTCTAGCATGTTTATTTAATACTGTATTTTGCAATCTGTTATTTAAAGTGATATTGAAAATAAACTCAAAACTTCTTTTACTGTAAAACTGTCCACCCACATCTTAGTTCTCATAGGTATACAGATTACATAACTGGAACATAAATATCCCAAACCATTCCCCTTTATATGATATCCCATTCCTTTCTCAGTTCTTGTGCTATTTTCCTTCTTGCTACCATCTTATAGCCATTGAAGAAACTATTTCATATATCAATTTTTGACTGATTTTCAAAGGAAGTTGTGAATGATGTTGAAATCACAATACTAACATTCATGAAAATATTGCATGATTTTAAAAAGTTAATTTTAGCTCTAGGAGTGTAAAATTAAAATAGCAACTTGATAATATCAAAATGAAACCTCTTCTAACAATTATTATAAAGAGAGGAAACATCCATACAAATCACAGTAATAACTTACTTTTTAAACTTTATTCTGGGGAAAAGGTGGACATTCATAAATTTCAAAGCAATCTCCTTTGTAACCATGAGAAAAGAAGATTTTAGAAATTGAGTTCCTATTATGTAATTTTCATAAAAAATTTGAAAAATATAACAAAAATTTAGGCTTACCAACATAAACTAAATTTAAATATATTTTATACTACTAAAACAAAACTATATTTTCAGTATGATTCATATACTCAATAAGGTAACATATTAAAATTGCAGAAAAATAGTTGTGTATACCATTTTACAATTTCCTATTTCTAGAACAAATGTCATAGACCCCCAATTTCTTCAGTGCAGAGTTTCCAATTCTTACTTAAAATTGAACCTTAGGGATTACTCAGGCATGACTGATACACCTAAACAATATCAGGCATTCAATACACACCATGTGCCTTTGAGTTACCTGACAAATGACAATAAGGTTATACTGAGTGAAGCACAGACGCCATTGCTAACTGAATATTTGAGGACTGCATATGGTTATTGTCATAGTAGAACAGAACTCTTGTTCAATATCCTGTCTGGGAAGCAGGCTACCAGATGCTTCCCAACAAGGGCAGAGCCACCCATGATGCAACTGGATGGATATGTAATTCTATAGCCTTGAGAGAAAACACCTCATCCTGGCCCCAGTTGGTGGGACACTCATACTCTGTTGATTTTTCTAACAGTACTAATATCATCAAATAATTCACTTTAATGAACTTTTCTATCACATAAACTTCACCTTTCAGGTGCCAGCAATTTTTCTATAATTATAAACTGCCACAGTGGGAAAGATTAAGTTGTTCTGAATGAATTGCTTTTCTCCAATTTTATAAAAAGGATTATTTTATTTAAATATGAGGTGGAGTTTTATCTCCCTATACATTCATATGTACATATATATGTATATATGTATGTGTATATATATGCATACATATGATGTAATATTCTGATTTACTATGGAGCAGAAATAAAATAGATTCACGTGTAAACTAAGAAGATATATTTACAATTGAGCAGTGGCCATACAATATATAAACTATAGAACGCTGGCTTCCACTGCTACAACAAAAATGGTAAAGTTGATAGCATTCAATACACATTGTTCCACATTGGTGGAGCAAGCATACCAAAATCCTTGATATGACTCAAGACATCTAGTTTCCCAATCCTGCCCCCTGCTTTGACTCCCACTAACTCAAGATGAGCTCTGGAAAGTCAAATACACTTCTGAAACAGCCACCTACTCAGAATGAACACAGGAAAGACATACATGTACACTCTCCAAACTAATCACATAAAATGCCCACTTTAGTAAGTTTGCCACCAAACTATTCCAATTCAAACAACCCCAAATTACAATGGAATCCAAGCCTTGGTTTTTCTCACCAAGGAAGCTTCTGATTCTCCTACCTTTGAGTGTTTGCCATATGTGATAGTGAGTGACTCCTAGCTACTAGTAGGTCTAAATAGACAGCCTCAGTTGCAGGGCAAATAAAAGGATGGGAATAGAGATATCTTTTTTTTTTTAACCAAACTGTAAATTCATTTATTAACAGGCATTATAAACAGATAATACTAATCTTAGTTAAAAACCGTGAGTGCCATACCAGTGAATATACAGCTCATGAATAACTTAAAAAGTATTTCCCATTTTAAAAGGCGACATATAGCATACAAAATTCTATACTAGACAAAGAAGCTGTAATATGGATACATGATTGATGTGTCTAAAACGATATATATATATACAGTACATAATTAATGTTAATTATGTGATCAGTACTTTTTTCTATGATTCCCTTCATGCTTCACTTTCCCCAGAAACTGAATTCTGAACTTCCTCTTCTAAAATTGGTACAAACAGGTTATCCTTGGACATCAAATTATACTTCATCACAAATTTAGTAAATCGATGACATAGAAATGTTTCATTTTCATATTCATGGAATATCTGCCGGTGATGAAAGTAAGCATGTGAAAATATTCTGTAAATCCTACGACATACTGATCCTAGTTTTGCTACAGATGATTCTTTTATGTTAACCCTGCTGGGAAAATATTTATTGCTATTCAGAAGACATGCAGCACCATCAAGTGCGTGTCTAGTATAATCTATAGCAGGACACTCTTTTGGAGTTTTATGAGCTGCACAAAGCAAAATCCATTGTTCAGTTGCTGTCATTTGAGTACAAGTATCTGGATGGCATTCACTCTGAAGTTTGACAGCAAGTCCGTTTAGTTCAAGGCAGAATTGCCTTAAGTGTTCATACTTCCATACACCTTCATCTTGGCCTTCAGGTGGTTCAAGAATTTTGTCAATATTAGAGCAATCTGCCCTTATGTTCTGTTGAATATACTGCTGAACAGCAAGTGTACTGTCCATTTCATCAAACGATTCATCAGGCCAATTATAGAAATCCTGTGCCTTCGTGCCCGGCCTATTCCGCCTCAGCACTGCCGTTCCCTCCACCATGACCATAGTGCCTCGGAATAGAGATATCTTGTGTGGTAAAAAATATACTCAATAATTAATTTTCAACTCAATTACACGTTTTCTTGATGCCATCTATATAAAAATATAGAGTTTTAATCTTCCCATGGCTTACATTTCTTTAATATTTACTAAATAGTTTTGTTAAGTGCTACTACCATATTTGATTTGTGTCCCTTTCTATTTTAAGCCACAGGTTCATGTTCCCTTGGCTCCAATAAACTGTATTCACTTTTAAGACTGATAGGCTACCATGAGCTCCATAGAAAATATTCTATGAATATTCATTGAATGTGGCAATCCACATTCAATGAATATGTGGAAATCCACATTCAATGAATCCACATTAAAAATAAATCATAGTATTTTCACATAATTCTGAGTACTTGATAAACTGTCCTTGAATCTAATGTAAAATCTGAAAAATATATCAATGTTTTTGAGAAATATTTATCTTCAGTTAAATTGAAAAACATCATTGTTAATGGTAAAGAGATATAAAGGCAATACAATCTCTGACTTCCACCCAAAAATAAGAACAAGGAAATGTATTAATGTATTAAACATTTTTTTGAGCAAAAAAAAAAAAAAAGTTTTCTCTGATTTAAGTGAAGTGACTCTAGACAAAATGTCTAAAATCATTCCATTCTCTGCCCAGGAATTTCACATATCTTGGAATACAGCAGGCTTATTTCAGAAAAAATATATACTGCTGGAAAGTTTACAATTGTGATAATTAATGATCTCAACCAATGGAAAGATATTCTAGATGAATGTATTTGTTGGCTCCTATTTGAAGTGAAGCACGGAGGCCTGTGGCTACCTCAGAGTTAAGGACTCAGGTGAAAGATGATGGAGAAAGCTGGCTTACCACCAGCAAGAAAAGCACAATGATGTTAGGTGCTTTTGTTGTTGATTGGTTGAATTGATTGGGCTTTCATTTTGCTACTATATAATGCCTTTAACTACATATATGAAATAATGCATTTGCACTCAGTCACTGGCTGTCCTCAATTTTGCTGCCTACTGCAGGTATTCATCCAAAATACAGTGGAAACCACCAGATTTAGAAAATATGAAGTTGGAATGAATATTAATTTAATAAGAAAGATACTGAAAGTTACTAATAAAAATGTCTTATAATGAGTATATGTACTTTACTAAAATATTACATTATTTCACTATAATTCAAGTCTCAGTTTTTTTGCTTTTTTTTTTTTTTTTTTGGTCAGTCGTGGGGCTTGAACTCTGGGCCTGGGCGCTGTCCCTCAGCTCTTCAGTTCAAAGCGAACACTCTACCACTTGAGCTACAGCACCACTTCTCATTTTCTGGTGGTTTATTGGAGATAAGAGTTTCATGGACTTTCCTGCCCAGGCTGGCTTTGAACCACGATCCTCAGATCTCAGTCTCCTGAGTAGCTAGAATTACAGGTGTGAGCCACTGGTGCTTGGCATGTCTCAGTTTTTATGTGATCTAAATCCTTCAGTACTTCATTAAAAATCCAATTTTAAATTTCATTTGCCAATATTTTTAAGATCTAGACTAAACTCAGGAAAGCACACTATTTGTAGTAGCCTCAAAAAAAAATCCTAAGAAGTAACCAATCATGTGAAGGAACTCTAGTATGAAAATTTAAACATCTAAAAAAGAAATTGAAGCAGATTTTAAAAGATGGAATAAACTCCCATGCTCCTAGATCAGAAGAATTAACATTGTGAAAATGGCAATGCTTCCCAAGACAATTTACAAATTCAATGCTATAACCATCAAAATCCCAACAATAGTCTTTCACACAATAGAGAAAGCAATCCCAAAATTCATATAGAATAATAAAAGACCTTGAATAGAAAAATGATACTTAGCAAGATGAACAATATTGGAGGCATATCAATACCAAACTTCAACTCTATTACAAAGAAACAGTAACAGAACAAGCTTGGTACTGGCACAAGAATAGGCTTGAAGACCAACCGAACATAATAAAAGATGCAAAAATGAACCCACAACCATATAGGGATCTTATTTTTGATAAAGGAACCCAAAACAGAGGAAGACAGTCAGTCTCTTCAACAACTGGTCCTGGCAAAATTGTCTCTCCACATGGAGAAAACTGAAGCTACTTCTTGATATATCACCCGGCACCAGAATCAATTCCAAGACCTCAGTGTAAGGCCAGATACCATGAAAATATTACAGGAAGGGTTAGGGGAAACACCAGGGCTACTAGACATGGATCAGAACTTCCTAATAAAAGATCCAGAATCTTAACAAATCAAAGAAAGACTAGATAAATCAGATTGCATCAAACTGAAGAGTTTCTGTATGGCAAAGTTGTATGACATTGCTAACAAGTTAAATAGAAAGCCCACAGAATGTGAGATGATTTTTACCAGCTATACATCAGACAAGGGCCTCATACCTAAAATACGCTGAGAGCTCAAAATATTAAACACCCCAAAATAAACCCTCAATAAAACAACCCAATTTATAAATGGGCTGAAGAGAGATACTTCTCAGAGAAAGAAATAAGAATGACATTAGAAAAATGTTTAAAATCTGGATATACAAGAAATGTAAATCAAAACAACATTGAGATTCCACATTAACCCAGTTAGAATGGCTATTATGAAGAAAACTAACAATATCAAATGCTGGCAAGGATGTTGCCAAAAGGGAACTCTATTACACTATTGGTGGTACTGCAAACTTATTCAACCACTCTGAAAAGCAGTATGGAGATTTCTCAAAAAACTAAACATAGAGCTTTTACGCAGCAATTCCCACTTCTGGGCCTTTTTTCCAATTGACCACAAACAAGGTCACACCAAGGTTACCAGCACAAATATGTTCATTGCAGCATTATTTATCATAGCCAAGATATGAATCAACCCAAACTCCGCTTAGTAGATGAATGCATCAAGAAAATGTAGTATCAGTGAAGTTATTTCTTTTTTCCTTTCTTCTTCCTTCTCTCTACCCCATGGTTTATCCTCTGTTGTCACTGCATTTGATTTTAGTACCCTAGGTATTGTATATATGTGTTTTTCTGAATTAGGGAAGTGAAGGAAAACAACAAAATGGTGAGACAAAGGACAAAGGGCAAACCAATGCAACAGTGATACTCACAAGACAATATGTTGGAAGATGGGTGCTGGAGGCTCAGGCCTGTAATATGAGCTACTCAGGAGGCTGAGATCTGAGGATCTTGGTTAAAACCAACCCAGGCAGGAAAGTCTGTGAGACTCTTATCTCCAGTTAACCACCAGAAAACCATAAAGGGTGCTGTGGCTCAAGTGGTAGAGTGCTTGCCTTGAGCTGAAGAACTCTGGCACAGCACCCAGGTCCAGCGTTCAAGCCCCACAACCAAAAAAAGATAAAAACAAACAAAAACAAAACAAAACAAAAGACAATATGTTGGAAATGAACTTTACAATTGGTGTAGGGTAGGGGGGTAGGAAAAGTGGGAGAAAAATGAGGGAGGGAGCAACAACATCCGAAAAGAAATATACTCACTACCTGGTGCATTTAACTGCAACCCCTCTGTACATCACCTTGACAATAAAATTATTTTGAAAAAATCTACAAGTAAACACACTGGATGGTAAAAGAAAAAAATATTCTGGGACATAATAAATAATACAGGTCTGTAGGCATTCTCACACAGTGAGACAAAAGGAAGATATCTTAAGAGAAGATCACAAATGCCCAATAGCTATGCACATATAATCATATAAAATAATATTTATCAAAATGAACTCAAAAAAGGGAGCAAGATGTATTTTTTTCTTTGTTGCTGTTTTTGTTTTCATTTCCTTTTGTTTTGTTTGTTGATTTATCTGCCTTTCAGAGGGCAAGTGAGATGGCACAGAAACAGTGGGACAAAGGGTGAACAAATGCAGCAGTGATACTCACTAGACATTATGTTGAAAATGACCTATAAAACTTATGGGCAGGGCTGGGTGCCAGTGGCCCATGCCTGTAATCCTAGCTATTCAGGAGGCTGAGATCTGAGGATTACAGTTCAAAGCCAGCCCAGGCAGGAAAGTCTGTGAGACTCTTATCTCCAATAAACCACTAGAAAACCAGAAGTGGTGCTGTGGATCAAAAGGTAGAGTGCTTACCTTGAGCTGAAGAGCTGAGGGATAGTGCCCAAGCCCAGAGTTCAAGCCTCATGACTGACACACCACATACACACACACACACACACACACACACACACACACACACACACACACACACACAAAACGTGGTTGGAGATGGTAGGGAAAAACTGGGTGAGAGCAAGGGAAAAGGTGACATTGTTCAAAAAGAAATGAACTCATTACCTGACTTCTGTAGCTGTAATCTCTCTGTACATCATCTTTACAATAACAATAGGTAAAAAATAAAATGTAAAAATAGAAATGAAAAGAGTTTAATGTCAATATTTATACATATACATGTGTGCACTGTATATAATTTTAATATCTCTCCAATATAATGTATATATGTTGTTCATTATTCATGTGTAAGCAAAGCATTTCTGAACTTAGAGATATTCATATTATCTTATCCAAGAGATTATATTCAATTTGAAAAATAGTTTGCATGATGGTGTAAATGAATGTTCACATATATATATATATATATATATATATATGTATATATATATATATATATATATATAAAATCTCTGTTTCATTGCTAATCATGTCTTTCCTTTGCTTACTCTTTTTGATACGCAAGTATAAAGTATGTTAGAGACATTTACATCAGGCAATTTATGCTCAAATTAGAAAAAAATAATAGCTTATACCAGTGCTTTCCAATGGTGAATATGTGACAGAATTACTTGATAAGCTGTTAAAATATATTGACACTTGATTTCATAGGATCACTAAGACAAAATATCTGCACCTAGTAAAATGGAAATATATAATATACAAAATTTCTGTTATATTCTTACAGCTTCTCAGATGATCTTCATGGGAAGCCAAGGTAAAAAAAA